CATGGAGGTTTAAATGCAGTAATTTCGGGCTACTCGCAAAACAGATGATTGCCCCGAGGTTAGTCGGCTCGAATAGCATGTTGGATATCCAGGTTAATAAAAAATAATAATACATATACTTGTATGGTGCTTTTGCTTCTCTCTTGGTTTTTCTGTCTTGTAGATTCTGTGTACTCTTTTACTGGTTTTATATTATGTTTGTTTTAAGAAAACAAACATATGTCCATTTCGATGTATGATGTGCACACGTTTTTCTACGTATGTTTGTCGTGCCATCAAAAGTGATGGTCTGACATACGCCATTATGATTTATCGAACTCAATTTTTCATAACATACATGGTAAAATTACAAGGGCAAATTGTATGAAAAAGTAACGTACTTTAACTTGATTCATATTATGGGTAACATACTTTCAAAACTTCAATTTTGGTATCTAAGACGTAAAGTTTTAAACATTTAAGTATCCGGGTAACCAGTTGAAGCATTAACCAGTTACCATGCTGATGTGGCGAGTAATGTGATATCCAACTCAGTAGTATTTGTTGAAGCATTAACCAGATACCACATCACTCGCCATATCAGCATAGTAACCGGTTAATGCTTCAACCAGTTATCCGGGTACTTAAATGATTAAAACTTTACATCTTAGGTATCTCTATTTTAAAAGAAAATTTAACATAGATTCAACAGATTCTCTATAATTTTTTTAAAGAAAAAACAAAAGTTACAAGCTTCAAAAGCAAATTACACTTAAACTACAACATTAGTCCCTGTGGTTTACACTGAACTCTAACGATTGTCCCTAAACTTCAATAAATATAGTTATCGTCCATGTGGTTTACTTTGGAGACCATTTTCAAAGCAAAATGCAAACCACATGGACGATAACTATACTATTAAAGTCTAGGGACGGTTTTCGTAGTTGAATGTAAACCATAAGGACCAAAATTGTATTTCACTCTTACAATTAACTCTTAAATGTTTATCATATGTGATAAAAACCTATAATCAAACTGTTACAGATTTATCTTTGTGATGAAATTGGTTTATTAATGATTATCAGATTTCGTTTGGAAAACAAACTCAATCACAATTTATCAGTATTATCATCATGGTTATAAATAATGCTACATTTTTAATTTAATTTAATAATGTTTTATTTTATTTATTTATTAAATAATGCTACATTTTTAATTTAATATACTAATTTATTTAACTAAATAGTAATTTATATTTAAGGTAATTTATATATATTATTTATTTTCATATAAATGGTAATTTTTGCTAAACATTTAAGGTAATTAATTATATTTTAATTTATATTTAAGACAATTTTGGTAATATAATTATTCATTATTATTATTATTATTATTATATTTCATTTATAATTTAAATAAGTATCAAATCAATAAAATAGTATTTTAATTATTTATTATTATTTCATTCTAATTTTGAAGTTATATTCTACCAATTAAACATGCAAATTCCAATTACTTTTAAAGATTTCATTACAATTTCTACCAGCCAAATTCATGGTCAAATTTCATTGAATTTCATTCAAATTCAAATTTCTTTGACAAATTCAAGTTCTACTAAATTTTGTTATAGTATTATTTTGATGTGAAGTTTCAAATGTAAAAAATTAGTCTCACGAGTATCACAAAAATAAATTGTTCTCACATGATCCTAAGTGTGTGTGTATATATATATTACACACACACACACCCCTATATATAGGGGCTGGTTCAAGTACTAATTAAAACTATTGTGCAAACTATGTTAACCCGATCTTGATCGTTCATTTTCTCATCAAACGGTCCTTATTAAATGAGACTATAAAAATAATCATTTAATTAATATATTAATTAAGATACTTATGAACAACGGTTCAGAGGGTATTTTTGAAAAAACATCGCATGAACACGGTGAACATCTATATGAACACGGTGAATGTTCATGGACATTACATGGATATGAACACCATGAACACCGTGAACATCAGAATTACCTCATGATCAATTAGAGGGATCTTAAAAGATTTGTAACTCCCAAATAATTATTAGGGAGTTACATAAAAGTCAAATTACAAAATGACCCTTGTATTCAATTTATAAGTTACATTTGAACATAAAGTAAAGAAAGAATGTGATTGGTTGATGTTGGTTAGTAGAGTTAACA